CACAAGAGTGTGACAAACATATATATAAAAGAAGGAGACGAAAATGACGATACAATGGAACTCGGATTCAACGAGGTCGCCGGGCCAGACCTAAAATCTCGTTGAATCCGAGTGTTCGTTATAGCAAACATGAGGTTTTGTGTAGATAATTAGCAAGTAATGTGCAAAGAGAAGTCACAAGTAGTGCCTGAAATGCCTGCAAATTATTAAGCTGTGTAAAAAAAAAAGACCGATTCGTTCAAATGCACGCCTATGTTATCTTGATTGTTTACCAAAGAGTTGTGTTGCTGTGTAGAGCCTAGCATACGACAACTTTTGATTCCATAGACCAGCGCACAATTCATTACGTAGATCTACCTCAAGACTAGCATATCATTGTAATAATTATCAGTTGCCGAGGGGGGAAAAGACTGACGCGTTTGTATCTGCGACGGTCAACGCCGGGACCGCTATTGCCCCCTCCCCAACACGCATGCAGACCGCCCATCCGACCCCGACACACGCCAGAGTACACGTGCGCGTGCCAACAACGCATGGGTTGGTATGGAAAAAAGGCCGCTGATTGGTCGTTTGAAATCGGCTAAGTGAAAAATGGTTCACGATGCAGGTGCAATGGATGGTTTCCGGGAATCCGGGAATAGATTTAGTTCGTTCTGGAAGAAAAACTAGTGAAGCCACGTCTGCAGGGGCTGTTCACCCTGGAAGCGACCTACCCCGTTGAATCCGAGCTCGCTAATTTAAGTGCTCGTTTAATCCGGGCTATTTTTATTGATTTTAAAGAAGAAAAAAAACGGGGAATCTATCTCATCTCATTGAATCCGAGTTCTCGTTGAATCCGAGCTCGTTGAATCCGAGTTCCACTGTAGTAAGGATTAGGGAAAAAAAGGAGCAGTTCCCTGTTGCAGTTCAGGCACAGTTACAATTCTACTGTGCATAAGAACATGATGTTAATGTCCCCCTTTTGGGAATGGCCTAAAGACACTTCAGAACAGTCAGTTGCACCGCCCCGGGGTGTGTGCAAAAGTCTGTGATGACAAACAAGTACACGATTTTGTAAGGTGCTCAAAATCACAGTTGTATTAGGAGGGGGAAAATCTTGCCTAACAAGTGAGAAAATGACAAGAAATGGTTCGGGAAAAAAAATTCATAACAAGTCAACAAATTACACTAAGAGATGATTCATATCAAATTCAACATTACTTCAAACAAAACGCATTGAGGTTGTTAGAAATTAATCATGACAATACTTTGTAGCCTACACAAACCAATATACAAATACAGTATTTTCAGTTTGCAAAAAAAACACACAAAAAACAAGCAAAGAAGGAAAATGCATTGCAATTTCAATTACACAATGGAGTATGGAGTCCACCTGAACCGAAATCTAAGAGGAAAGCCAGATTTTTTATGGTTTAGGCAGATTTATGGTATTTAAAGAATTTGTCAATAGAAAAAAAAGAATCATAGAGTTTATTTTCTTTCGGTGTGCAGCTGTTTTTTGGTTTTATCGTGTTTGGTTTAAGTGCACGTCAATGTGTATAGTGTCGTAAAGAAAAGTATCATAACAAATCACAGAATGATCCCACATGGCAGTTTTAAGCATCAGATTTAATAAAGCTCTTTTCAAGCTCTACACATTGAACCAAATGGAAGCTTATTTTAAAAAGTTAACCACTTTGAATGTCTTGAAAATATCTTGAAAGAGTCAAAGTGTCAGAGCTTACAATAACAAAAATCTCAGTAAAATAGCACAAGACAACACTAGAAAGCTGTTTTGTACATCAAACCAAACTTTATATAAACAGAAGGACTCAAAACTTTTGAAACATACGAGCATTAATGAGTCATGACGTGGTAGAATCAGGCGCTCGTCAATCTTTGGGCATGTAGTTTTTTGTACATTGCATCATCTGAAAGCTGATTTATTTGCTTTGCTTCCAATTAAATGAATATATCTCTATCTATCTTGAATAGAACTCAAGACATTTGCGATTGAAGGAGGCGAGGACGCCTGGTTTCACTAGTTTCAGTGGTGAAATTAGCAAGAAAATGGCCGTCGAAGTATGGTAACTCCAATACGGTAGCTAAAGAGTCCTTGAAAACAGAAAAACGACAAATTTTTTACCTTTAATCAATATTTTTCAGTAACATTCACATGGAAATGGACAAAAAAGAGGTTGAGCTAAAAAATAAAAATACAAATTCGAGAAAAATTTCCAAACTGACGGAAAAGTGCCTGTTTCTCCGATTGCTGTATTTTGACGAAGGCCTGATTTCACCACGCTACCTGACAAATTCATATGCTTCACATGGCAGTCTATTATAAAAAAAATTTCAAATCAACAAATTGGATAACATGCATGTGAAGAACATGATAAGAATAATTATAATTATAATAATAACAATAGTGATATATATAATAATAATTTTAATTCTTGCAGTTTGTAATTTTTGTGTT